GTGTGTGTGTGTGTGTGTGTGTGTGTGAAAGAAAGAAAGAGAGAGAGAGAGAAATTCCTGAATAAATGCGACTGACTCTAGCACTTGGGGTGCTTGGCTCAAGAAGAAACTGCCTACCTGTCTCTCTGGTCTTTAGCAACCATTTGCAATGGGTTTCATCACTGCCCCTCTTCCCCCCACCTCCGGCAACCCTTCTAAGGTAGTGAATGGAGGGTCTACAAAGCTGTGGCCTGGAAATCACCTGGCAATTCCCCACCAGCTGCCTTTCATCTGCCCCCACAGGATTCTGGAATCAGACACACCTAGGTTCAAATCAGTCTCACTGGGTCCCTTAGCCTCCTGGAACCTCTGTTTCCTCATCTTTGAAATGAAGATCACAATATCTTCCTCACATGTCTTTGCAGAGGTGTGAGTCAAGTGCCCACCTAGCCCAGTGTCAGATACACAAGACACTAGGCCCAGATGGCTCCAACTCCTCCAGCCTACATTTATACTTCCTTACAATAATAATTACAACTATTTATTGAATCTTTGCTCTTTGCCAAGTACTGTGCTACATATTTTACATTAGAAAGTCCATCTTCTCCTCAGTAAATAAATAAACAAAACTTGTGATGTAAGTTCTATCCTTGTCCCCCTTTTACAGACCCAGAAACACTCAGTGCCCAAGGTCGTGGCCCCCAGCAAGCTCAGAGGTAAAATTCACACCCAAACCTGCTGAACTCTTAAGACCCTGTTATTTCCGAATACCTGCTGTCTCCTGTGCCTTCTCAATTCTTCATGAAATATTCCATTTGACTTGCTAGCCATGGTCTGTTGTCAAATTCTCTCTTAACATTTCCCATTTATCCATTCATAAACAGGTCTTAGCGTGCTCAGGGTAAGAAGTGTAATTGGTTTTCACTTTTTCCGTAGACATTTACATGATCTATAGCTGAGACCTCGGGAAGTGTTAGCGAAGCAGAGATTCCATAGAAAGCCAATTGTCCTTTGCCAAAACCCAAGTTTCAGCCAAGAACCAAATATATTTCTTATTCCTGGAAAAGGAAACCTGAGTCTTCACCCTGAGGCAGCATCTGCCCTGGCTACATCCTTCCCAAAATTGATTTTCATTTATCTATTCAAAGATGTAATAAAATTTTTAAAACCATCATTATTTGTGAGTTCAGTCTCCTACATTCACCCTATACTTTGTTCTCCAAGCCCAGATCAAATCCCTCCAGGCAGCTTTCCCGTACTTTCCAACCCAAGGCCCCCTCTCTCTGCCCTGGATATTCCACAGAGCTCCAATCCTGATCTACAGACACCATGGACACGTCCTCAAAGGAGCACGTCTCTAAGTGGACATCTTGTCACTACAAGAAGATTATAAATTCCTGCAAGACTGAGACCTTGTCTTCTTCTTTTCTTTTTTTAAATTTTCGTTTTTGAAACTTCTAAACTGCTTAGTACTTTACTAGGCATTGAGCAAATGCTTCACAGAACGTCTGTGAAGACAATTACTCCCAAATTGCTAAAAGCATGTTAATCCCTAAGTCACAAGCACATGGCTGCTTTTCCTTTGGAAGGTACTGCCAGCCCCATCCGAGTGCCCAAACCAAACCAAAAGGATATGTAGTTAGTCAGGCAGATTAAAGGTCATACTCCTACCTCCATGGGGCAGGTGACCATGGGAGATCATACCAGCCAGTCCCCGCCCCCAGCCCAGTCTTTCCTTGTCCCGAATGTTCCATTGACAAGAAGGCAAGAGCATCACCCTCCCTTCTGGTAACAGAGCTTCCCCATTCTAACTGTTTGGAAAGTGCTCTCCTTCAACACAGCCAATGGTTCTGATGAGGGCCGAGAATCGCATCCCTCAGCTACAATGATGGGTCCAGGGATAACCACGAGGATGAGCATCCCACTGCTGTGGTCACAGAGATGAGCATGTGACCAGGAGGGTCCAATAGGAGTCCTCCCCAAGGTTTTCTAACTGGAGCTGGCAGAGGAGAGCCTCCTGCCATACTGACTAGGAGGTTGCAAGTTTGAGAGTCAGAAGCCGACTGTCCCTCTTTGCAAAGAGAAACCATCTGGTGGTTGGAGCAAATGAAACAAAGGGAAGATGGAACCTGAGAAATATTGACAATGCTCCACTTCAGGCAGCAGTGATCCTGCCTGCTGCTCTGCCTCAGGTTAGGTTATGGGGCGCCTGTATCCCCCTTTTGTTTAAATTAGCTTTCAATCACCTGCTCCCAGAATGTCCTTCAAACATGCACACTTCCCAAGAAGGGCCATCCTGCAGACATGGGCCAGTGGTTGGCAAGAATTACAAAGCAGAATACTCATAGATAGGACCTCTGCAGGTCCACAGGTGAGCACAGAGGAAGGGTAGTGACAGGAATGCTTCTCAGCCCCGTGTGGCCTGGGTCACAACCTATAGCATCAAAGAGCTCATAGTGAAAACTTATTGGCCACAGATGCTGGTAGCCAAAGGCCTCCCCAGCATCCTGGCTGGAAGTCTAAGAGGAAGGCTTTTTCTTCCTTCTCTAGAAAGGCAGGGGCATGGGGTGGTTCCTCAGCAGAACCATGTCAAAATGGCCACAAAACAACACCCCGTATTACCAACCTAGTATGGAAAGCATTAGACCAGGAGCCAAAACTTTCTAAGCTTTCTGAGTCTCAGTTTCCTTGTCTGATACATGGGTACTCACACCAGGCTGCCTCCCTCCAGACCAGCATAGGGCTCAAGTAAAGAATGATATTAGCTACAAGTGTTCTACAAGGCACCGTGTGCTGAGCCTATGCAGGCTTCCTTGTATTAGACTAAACCCTTGCTGTTCTGCCTGGCCAGTGCTGCTCAAGAGGCACACAAAAAAGTGCTGGTTGAACTGCAAAAAACAAAATCTGACCAAACACAAAACTTGAAGTACAAATAATGTCTATGGTAGCAATGTTTGTGCTTTGACTACTATGGTAATCTTCAGCCTAGAACAAAAATTAGCCTATTTAGGAAAAATTAAAAATACTAGGATGACCAACTACATTTGAATTCCAAATAAACAATACTTTGTTTTAGTCTAAGTATGTCCCCTGCAATATTTGGGACATAGTGTACATATAAAAATTACTTGTTTTTCTGAAATACAAATGTAGACAGGTATCCTGTACTTTTTCTTGTAATCCTACCTGAAGCCCAATTTTATGAATGTACTTTGAAGATGGCTCACTTGTATGAGGGGTCTAAAATAGTCAAAGTGAAAGAAACACAGAGTAGAATGTTGGTAACCAGGGATGAAGAGGAGGTGGAGTCCAAGAGGTACATGTTTCAATTATACAAGATGAGTAAGTCCTAGAGATCTATACAGTATATTGCATAGAGTTAACAATACTATATTGCATGTTTAAAAATGTAAGAGGGAGATTTTATGTTAAATGTTCTTATCACAAAAAGGTGTGGGGGCTTGCAAAGGTGGTGATTAAGATTAAGACAATGTTTACAGTGATGGCTTCATAGGCGTGTACTTCTCTTCAACCCATTGGCAAGCCTACATTGAACACATGCAGCTTCCTTGTAGGTCTATCATACCCAATTAAAATGTATTTTTAAAAGAAAGAAAATAATTTGCTGTTACAAATATGAAGTTATGAGTCCTCGTTCCAGGTCTAACTGGTAATGGGCAGTTCCTGGACTTTTGTGCTCACAGCTTTGGGATCAGAACAGAGCCCTAAGCAGCATTCTATGGCCTTTATAGAAATCAGATAATCTCTAAGCATACAAGAAACTTGGATAAAGTTAATTAGGGTTCACAAAAAATCAGATTAACCACCCATGTGCTTTCTCCTCACCACCCCAAGCATTCCCTTTCCCAATGCAAGAGGACTCTTTCCTGGGACCTCATTTCTTCCTTGCCCCGTTACATAAACACCTCGATGGTAAAGTCATTTTCCCCAGCTGCATTTCTGGCCACCACCTGCTTGCTTAGTACTAGATCCTGGGGAACTTTTATTTGGAGATGCAGAGCCTGCCCTAGAGGCTTTACTTGGTCATTGATGAGCTAGGGTACCATTAAATGTAGACACACCATGAGACAGTACCCTCTTGTTGAACATCATCCTCATCCTTATCCTCACATGCTCTGCTAGGAACATGGCCAAGGTGACCTTGTAGAATGCTCCAGGCCCCTGCTCTAGGAATCTCTGGCATCTGCAACCCAGGGGAAATACCCAGAAGCTGCCATTCTGCTGTGCCAACCAGGCACTGGCTTCTCATCTGATGGGTCATTAAGATTGCCAAGTTGAGTGTATTAGGATAAGAGGCCCTGCCCTTTGTTATCTCTCACTTTCCTCAGACATATCATCCTAGGACTGATCAAGATGCTCATTTTTCAGGCCACACTGGGCCAGGTTCCAGAACATGACCCCTTTTAAAGCATACCGTATGACCAGGTCAAGAGCAGAAATGGCACCATTTTCCCTCCTGTGTGTACAGAAGGGGAAAGATAGTGTCCGAGTTTCCTTGCTCTGCTGAAGGGCTCTGCTCCTACCAGCACGCAGGCCACCTTCCAGATCACTTGCATCCAAACTTTCTCTGGCTAATGGCTGCCCTGCCCTAGGGACCAAAGCCCTGCTTTTGTGTCTTTATGGATTCTCATTTTTTTTCTTCATAATTCCAGCTGATAATAGGAATCAACTTTCTCTTACTGAAGAAGAGGCCTTCTGAGATCATACAATTTCATGTATTCACAAGCGGTGGAAGGAGAGGATTCAAGGAGGGTTTTCCAAGGTCAAAGAAAAACAGCAGAATAGAACAAGGACAAAGGGACCATGCTATTTTCAGTCCCCTCCATGGCTTTTTCCGACTCCGTTTCTGTCATGACTAAGCACTTCTAATGGTTATCAATACAGCCAGCCTTCCGAAAAGTGGAGTCTCCTCATCCAATTCCAAGAAGTTTCTTTCCCTTGTCCTGTTTCTAAACCTGACCTTTTCCAAGTTCTGGCTGAAATGACCTTGAATCACCTCCCACTTAAGGAGTACAATGGAGCTCTTTGTAAGCTGTGTGGAAGCCAAGGGGCCAGAGGATACCCACCTGAGATGCTGCTAGTGCTGGATCAACCTTTGCTACCATGTAGTTTTATGGTCCAGGAAGTGTGAGTTGACACCTTGGATAACTGAATCCCACACACAGTGAGTAAACAATGTCCCCCTGGACTTGCAAGTCCTGCTTCTTTCACTTTTTTTTTTTTCATTTAGGGGAATGTATCATTAATTCCTCAGACTCAACATTAGATCTGCTGTGGATCCCAGAGTCTTCAGTGTCTCATAAGGAATATCCAATATAAACCCTTTTCTTTTTTCCTTTTTTTTTCTTAAAGCTTTCTCTTTCAAAGGCTTCATTTTACACTGCTAAACGTATAGTTAAAAGGATTGTTTGTGTGTGTGTGTGTGTGTGTGTGTGTGTGTGTGTGTGTGTATGGTTTCTGTATTATCCGTTTGGCTTTTTTGTTTGCTTGTTGGGCTTGTTGTTGTTGCCATAGTAATTATCCTTAACACATTCTAGGACCCTAACTTTGATTCCAATATCTGATATTTGGCCTAACTCTTACCTTTCTGCCTCTAATACTTTTATTTCTTCATCTGCAAGATTCTATGCTTCTTCAGATGGCTCTGAAATTCCTCTGTTCATATCACTTTCCAAATCCCCATGACTCTTCCCTCACTGTTCATTTCCAAACAAAAGGATCAGTAAAACAGTTTCCCTCAAATATGATGCATTCAACTAATCCCAATTCACCATTTCTATGATTAACTCCACTTAAAAATTCAATTGATTTTAGAATTCTTCTTTCAGACTCGAGCCCGTGCCCATCACCTCTGTGCTCTCTGCAAATGGATGGCTAGTCTTGCCTCATACTCACTTCCCCTTTCGAATCCTGCTCCCAAAAACATTTTCTCCCTGTCAGCTCAACACTGACTCTCTGCAAATCATCCTGTGATCCCATGGAAAAAGGACATGATACACAAATAAATTTTAGTGTCCTATGCTTGGGGGTTATAAATGAAAACAGATTGATAGAAAAAAATGATGTGTGTATAGCACAAATATAGTATATATTTATATATGTATGTGTGCGTATACTGCTACACATATGATGCAAATCAATAGCCTTAAATTCAATCTACTAATTTGCAAAATAAAACACCAATTCTGCCCAAACCTCCAAAGATCTTTCAAATGAAACAACTATCTCACAGATGATAAAGTGATTCAAAATTCAAATTATACTTCATCCATCTGTATACAACTACATCCTGTTTAGTATTCCACCTCAATTATCATCACATCTGATGTTAGCACCAGGGCTTATATTTACTGAGGGCTAGTTACCAGCACTCTGCTAAACAGCCTACATGCCTTAGATTTTCATTCTCATGCCTGTTACATAGATGAGGAAACCAAGGCTTAAAGACCTTTGGTAACTTGCCAAAGTTCCCATCATTGGACCAGCAAAACAGAACAAGGATTAGGACTCAAGTTCATTCAGCTCTAGAGTCCACCCTGTTGACCTCTGAGATTTCAAAAGGTTCTTTGGAGGGTTCATGTCTTAAACCTGCCCATGGGTCAAGAATTTGGAATCTTCCCCCTAGACTTCTCTTCAGGAGGCAAATCAACCAGCATTGCCACCCCAAGGTCAACTCTGCTCTCCGTCTTATTTAGAGCATAAAGATGATTCATTGCTTGCATAGAAAATTGATCTAACTACCATTTTATTAAAAAAATGCAGGATTTCCATTTTAGAGGGACTTCTTGAAGAAATTTGAATTAGGAAACAAAGTAATTGAGATTTTCTATCTTTCCTGGTATTTTTAGTTACTGATTAATGTGGAGTCCTGGGTGTTGGAAAAACTTATGAAATCTATAGCAATATTAGCTCTTAGGATTTTTGATGGAAACAGAGATTAGAGTTTGAGGATGCCAACTCTGTTGGCTGGGGACTACTTCTCTTGCTCCTTTGACATTTGACCTTTGACATTTCCTGAGAACCCTCACTGTCTCTGGGTCCATGGGAGATAGTGGTTCTCTCCTGTGTCAATGCCTGACCCAGAGGAAGAGAGAACAGTGGGGTTGGCTACCACTACCAGGCAACAATAGCCATCCATGGGGTCTAAATGACACCCTCCCCCTGCACCCAGTCGCCCACCCCCAGCTTTGTCCCCCTTGTCTCTCAGGCCACAGTTGGTCACGAGGATTAACCCCTCCCACCCCCTCATCCCCCACCCCAGCACTCCACCCACCCCCAACAGTCCTTTGGGCAACATGACTGACAAGAGTTCCACAGGCGATGATGTCACAAAGAGAGGGGGCAGTGAGCCCTGTTAGACCATCTTTCACTCCAGTGGACTCGCCTTCACAGACAAATTGATTTGCAAAGGTTCAGGCTGCCAGCCCAGCCTGCTTTGCATACAGAACGCTCCCTGGTGACACAATAAAAAGTGGCCAGGCTCACAGAGGAGCACAGCAGGGTCTGGCCAGTTCAAAGTCCAAACTCCACCCCCCCTCACCTCAGTCTGGTTTGAAAGGTCACTGTGTGTCTGGGAAAATAGTCGCAGGATACAATCCTTTATTAAAGGTCACTATTTTTCAACGGCACTTAACACACACTTACACACAAATTGAGACCCGAGAAGGGGGGAAAAAACTGGGGGCCACATCGCATTGTATATTGTGCTTGCAAGATTTATGTCTTGTGGTCACCAGCAATAAACACACACTGCTTCAGTACTAAAGTTCACATTAATCCACTGAGTCCCCCTCTCCTTGAAATCAGCCTCTTCTTTGCCAGGCAAACAGGGGCAAATGGAGACTTTTGTTCCTCTCTTTTGTTCCTCCCCCGTCTTTTCCTTCCCTGGTTGTGAGTTGTTTTGTAATTATTGTTGGTGTTGGTGGTGATGTGCTGCGCAAAACTTTCCCCTTGCTCACACATGATGTGTGCCTAGCATTTGGATCCCAAACCACGTGAACTCAGCATGCCTAAGATGCGGAGCGTGTCTGTGGGGCTGCCTAGGTCTTAGACCTCAAGAAGCAAAAGTCAAGTTCTTTTCTAGTCTGCTGGTAAAAATTCAGGGGAACACTCTGGCTAAGACTGTAGCCATAAAGCCATCAATGAGAGTGGCAGTCCTGCCTACCCATTGTGTGATATATTTTATTTGAGTAAATACTTCCATACAAGCAAAAATAGTGTTTGTATTTTCCTGCTAGTAACAGACAGTTCACATTGGGTTTCCCAAGAACGTTAACAATAGCAATCCCTGCATTCATAACAAAAGAGATTATCAGAGAAGTCAGCCCGAGCTGTTAGATTAATTTAGGCAAGAATTGGAAAAGAAAATATTTAGGAAAAATTCTATGAATTTCAAATAGCCGGCAAAAATATATAATGTCGAGGATTCCACCCTACTCCATAGCACATTTTTGCAAAGCTTTTTGCCAGTGATAGATTTCTGAGCTATCAAAAGCACATTAATTTTTTTCTGATTAAAACAGCTGTGAAAATATACAAGTGTAACTGTGAAAAATCCAGGGCTTATTGTAATACTTTAAGCAAAACAAGGATAAAAGATTTTTAAATACGGACTTGCCAAAAGTGAAATATCTAACACGAGGAGAGCTAATTCTGCGTGTGCTTCTAATATTTTGGCATAAATACTTTAATCCTCTTGTCCATCCTGTTGGCACCTCGTCTACAGTTGACTTGTTAAGGGCGAGTTCCTTTGTAATGTCGTCAGCACCTCTCCATAGTTATTGACTGGCTCTCATTAAAACAGCAAGATCACAAAACAGCAGAAGTGAGAAGAGGTGGGGAAGCAGCCGGCTCCTCACTACAAAGGTAATCAGAAAACACAAGCACCTAAAGGAGGAACGAAAACCGTGGCAGAAGTGAAACTGTCTGTCGAGATGGAGGAGGAGGAAGAAGGGGAGGGGGAGGAGGAGGAGGAGGAGGAAAAGAGGGGGAAGAGGAGGGGGAGAGTCCTTCTGAAGGTGGGGCTGGGGTTTGGAGACTCTGCTTCCATGTTTTTTGTTTATTATAAAAATACACTAAATCCAAAACAATTTTCCTATGTACATATACGAATACACCATAGTGAATCCCACCATCGTGGACATCCACGTGTTTGTACAATTATATCAAAATGAATTCACTCTCATGTTATAACTAAAAAGAACCCATTACAAAAAAGAAAGAAAGTCCTTTAAAAAAAAATACACAGGGCATCACAAAGGCCAAGTTCAAGTTGTGTATAGTGTTCGTCCTGTGTTATTCAGTGACACAGCATATGGATGAAGCACACAACACACTCAAAACCACACACAGCTTCCCGTCGCTTAAAAATAAATCTCTTTTTTGGAGGCAGATGTCAACTTCTCTTGCTCATGCTTCCGATGTGAGCTTGGCTGGTAAGGATTTCACTTGGACCCGGACTCTCCATTCCTAATCTATTGCCTTGAAAGGGGTGACCTTATGAATACAGTCATTGTGCAATTCAAAAGCATGGCGGCGGCAGGGGAGCATGCTTATCCAAGAGAAGGTGCCTTTTGAGGCCAACCACCCCAAATCTATCCCCCAAACTCTGAGGATAGAGTTAAAGACTGAGAAAAGAAAGAGAGGAAGGAAGGGAAAGAGGGAAAAAGGAACCTGTCTCTTCTGCAGGGCAGGCTGGGCGCCCAGGATCAGAGTGTGCGCTGCACAGGGCCCTCTGCTGGCTCCCATCCAGATAGGCGTCTTGGGATTGGAGCCTCAGGTTAGATGCAGAGGTTGACAAGTGCCACTGGTTCCCAGGATAGAACCCAGACCGGATACTGCCCTATGAGACAACGACTCTCCCCTTCCACACACAAATGCTACTGCCCCTCCAAGCTGTCAGGCCCGGCATCTGCAGTCCCACTGTGACCCTAAGAGCCTGGAACTTCATCCCAGAGCCCCCAGACTTTCAAAAGCAGCATACTAAGGCAAAAATGTTGGCGGCTCAGCTGAGGATCACATCAGTCCCCGAAAATGAGGCTTTTAGGACAGCAAAGGATGAAAAGCAGAATTCAGAGGGGGGTTGGGAACTGCACAGCAGAGATCTCCCTCTGTGGAGTTTTTGGTCTTCTATCTCTCGCTCCCTCCCAGCTTCCACCCAACCCTCTCTCCAACCAGGTGATTCATGCCAGCCCCTAGAGGGCTTCTAAAGGGACGTACCTCACAGAGGACCTGCATGGATAAGAGCAGAGGAACAACCAGAGTCTCCTCTGTTGCCAGCTGAGACCGGAAGCCAGCAAGACTGAGAATGCCCTGGTCCTTGGGCAATTGGTACCCTGCCCCACCCCAAACAGGAGGCTGAGGGCCACATGGTATTCCCAGAAGGTTCACACCCCAACCACAGTTTGGGGGTTTATCAATACCATGGATCCTGGAAGGATTCTTGGTGCCTTTTGTAAAAAATAGTGTTGCCCTGAAACCCTGACCTCTCCCTCTGCACCCTGCCCTTGGGCCTCCTGCCCAGGACCACACACACACACACACACATACACACACACACACTCACACACAGACACTGTCCATTGGGTACCTAGCAGGGAACTCTCACTTCTCATTAACTGTAAGAACTACTTGGACTTTTCCATAGACAGTAGCCCCTTGTGATTGCCCTTCCGTGTATATGGAGTCTTGCTAACATGGAGACTTCCCACAGCACAGACACCTTCAATCTGAAAAACCAATGTCAGTTTTCTTCAAGGCTCATGGGCTTACCTATTTCACAGACCCCAAATAAAAATATTTCATTATTTTTTTGCCCCTGCATTATTAAAGCCTATAATGATTATTTGTAAGTAGTGCGTGTGTGTGTGTGTGTGTGTGTATTGCAAATTACACCAGGGAGAAATACTGATTCAGTCATCACTGGGGTCAGGGGGAGGTCTCAGTGGCTCTGAGCTGTGAAACAGGCAGTTCTGCCAGTGTGTTTGGAAGTTCCACAAGGGCCAGGATTTCTGTCCGTGTTATAAGTATTCAGCCCCAGCACCTAGGATAGTGCTAGCTCCTCAGTCCACATGCACTAAGTACTTATTGAACAATCCTACATGTGATATGCAAGCATGTGACTCGGTGGTTTCTAGACTTTCTCTCCCCGCTTCCACTGGTTAAAAGAAAAATCACCTGGGAAGGAAAGCAACAAGAGCTTTATTGTTTATTGAACCTTTCTTCTGTGGTTCCTCAAGGGGAAGACAAGGCAAGCTTGTGTGTGTGTCTGTGCACTGGCACACGTGTGTAAGAGTATGTACATATGTGTTGGGGCTTAGCATATAGAGGTGGTTTTTTTTTCCCCTTGCTACGTTTCCTCCGATCCCTCCCCTTCTTAGCTGCCTGGGTCAGGCACCTGAGCTCTGTTATAATAGTAATTACAATGGATTTGACAGCCTTATGAGTAGAGTTCGGAAAGCAGCTGTCACAGAAATTAGCAAGTTTTGCCAACAGCTCAGCTGCAAGGTGATGTGAGCCCAGGCCGGGACAGGAGGAGTTAACTGAGAAGAGTGGGGTGTTATGCAAAGCACCAAATCCCTAAACTCCCGCAAAGATCTTTGATGGCCGTGATCAATAGATTCTCAGACCACGCTGACATAACCTTGTCACGCCTCAGCAAGGGTACAGTGGCTAAAAAGGCGTGGGGAGGTGGAGAGGTGGGAGGAGAGGGGGTGAGCAAGAGGACAGGGGAGGGGATAAAGATATCATGCCCTCCCCCTGCGGCTCCCTCAGGCCCCCTCCTTCCCCCACCACCCCCTCTTCAACAGGCATCACACAGCAAGTGACTGGTAATGGTTCTTTGGCCTTGTATAGCTTTTAAAATCCTTCAGCTGAAGCATCTCAGCTCCAATCGCCAGCAAAGCTTGAGCACCCTTGAGACCCTGGTGCAGATAATCATCATCCACTCAGTGACAAGAAGCTGAGCGCCGCTTCGGTACCAAGGAGACCGAATGTGGCAGGGCACCAAGGTGCCATCTTAGACGCAACCAAGCAGCAGCCACAGCAGCAGCACACAGAGATGCGGATGTTTGCAAGTTGTTGGGGTTTTTTTTCCCTCCTTCTTCTCCTTCTTCTTCTTCTTCTTCTTCTTCAATTTTATCTTCTTTCTCCTTCCTCTCAATCTCCTCAGAGAACCTTCTTCCTCAAGAGGGATGCTGTTATCTCAGCTGTTCTTAGCATACTTCCCGTTACCCAGCGCCTGCTGGACCAAATTGAACCCTGCAGTCAATACTGGTGGAAAAGAAAATGACATTAATTTGTGTAAAAGTGTAATCAAAAGGTGGGTAGGTGGTTTTTCTTGCTTTCAGAGAAATGCAGGTTTGAGTTTATGATTTTATAAAAGAGAGCCCACCGGTCAGCAGATTCCTGCCTTTCTCCCAGCGCTTCCCAAGTGCTCTTTCTGCCCTGTGACAGCGTTACAGTTAATGGTGTTGCATTATGTATACAATACACTGTGGATGGTACAGCTGGCTGGGATGGTCCTACAGACCGGGGTGCTGATGGGCGTTTACCGCCTGCTGAAAGGTGGGAGAGGAAATGTCTAGGAATAAAGGAAGAGCCATCCCTAATACGCACAGAACTCAAACCCCCAGCAGCTTGGAACAGCTGCATGGGTTCAGATCATGTATATTTCCTTTCCACCTCGAGCCTTTGGCTCACATTTTCCATCCACAGAGCTCCCTGGCAAATTGAAGATGGTCCAAACAAGGAATACCACAATCCCTTGCACTTATTAAAAATAGCTCTCCAACCAACCCCAAATATTTAATTCCATTGTCAACTTTCCATCTCACACCTTAACAAGAGGCAGACCTCAGAGAGGGACAGCTCTGGGCAATTGTCCTTTGCAGGCATGACTTTGTTTAAGGCCAAGTCACCAGGCCCCACACCCCTGGCCCAGAAGCAGATCGATTTTACTATTAAGCAGTGAGCCGTGCAAAGGAGATGCCTGCACTGGAGATTTGTGAGAGGGAAGATGCTGTTCTGTTCCTGACGCCATGAGGACAGAGGTGGACATTGCATATGCAGCTTTGTTATCCCCCTGGGGCGAATGAACGTGAGGCACTGACCACCATGCTACGAGAGGTCACGGTAATGAAGCCGAGGGCCTGGGAGAGTGGGAAAGGAAACCATCTTTGCCCTGAAAGTATGGAAAGTTTGCCAGAAACCAAAGCAGAGGATTTTAGTGTCCCAGAGAGTCTGACGGAAGAAAGCTACATCTTTAAAAGTTATTTAAGGGATTACCTCCTGCAGGGACAGAGGAGCCCATATGTGAGACCTTGGAGACCACGGATGATTTCAGTGCCTTCCCATTTCTAGCCACTCCCCCCACACACACACAAGAAAAAGCTCGCTTGAATTCACTCCGTTGATTCATTCATTCAGTAAAAATCTATTGATCACCTATCATCCGTCAGGCACTGTTCTAGCTCCTTGGGATGTGACAACAATCGAAACTAATGAAAACATCAGTCCCTGTGGAACTCACAGTCTATCCCTCCATGAAGAACAAAGCCTTTCGGAACATAAAGAGATGCCCACATTCTTGGGGAAGATAACCAAATGTTACTGATTGAGAGCTGTGTTCTTCAGAGAATCCTTATGGGACGGAGGGCAAGAAGCCCTGGGCATCAGGTTGAGAGGGAGGAGAGGACCTAAGGGGTGAGCAGAGGTGGAGGCCAAGTCATAGAAGGAGTGGAGAGTCCAGAAGCCGAAGGCACCAAGGTACCATTCACCTACTTTGCAGGATTAACACAGTAATAAAGACCTAGGTCATTGTGCAAATATCCACGGGGTTAAATGCCAAGATTCTGGGTTACGGTTGTATATGAGACAAGAAGCTGGCAAACATCTTTCCCTGCTCAGCTGCCAGTAAGTCTGTGTCCCAGGGCCAGGCTAAGATGCTACCCAGCAGGGTTCTCCAGTGTTCAGATCAGCAGGAACACCATCTCTGATCTCCAAGCAGCCAGTCTTAACCTTCTTCCCTTGGGTTTCCCACAGATCACTGTCCACCCAGAGCCCTCACATGTCACCAGCCCCCCACCCCGTATTGCTGAAAAAGATTCAGCAATTTGGAAATCATGATTCTTTCTCTAAAACTTCAATGCATGCTGATCACAGTCACTGAAAAGCTGAGCATCAGCCTTGGCCACACATCCTCACAGAACTCAAGAAAGCCATGGATTTCACTTCAATGTGGCACACATTCCCCCCAGTGTTCACTTGACAGAGTCTTCCTGCCTTGTCCCTGAATCACCCTGCAGCTGGGTCCAGTTCCAAGAGAGAAGGGTCCACCAGCCTCGTGCCATCATGAGCTTCCAGCCCTCACACGGTCACGCGCCCTTTTCTGAGCCCTTATTCCTTTACCCGAAAGACCACTCTCTTTGCTGAATCCCCTGCCCACATGTGCCATCTGACTGCTTTGGCTCTGCGCGCTCTAGGAAGGGCTTCTCTAGTTGCTGGAAATATCACCAATTTTCTTTTCTCACAAACAGGAAAAGTTTTATTTTTTGTTTTTTTTTTTCCCAAGACTTTCGTATTTCTCCATCAGAATGAAATAGAATCCCCCTAATAAGTCCCAGTACCATGCTGCGTGTATGCACGTGTACACACACAACATACATACCTACTCACATGCCACTATTGCAAAACTATTGGCCTAAAAACTGGGCTATTCTACAGATGTCCCTTCGACATAAATACATAAAAAGAGGTCAGGTCTCCGTCTGCCGCCTGAGCCCAGTTTGTGGTCTGCACAGGGTCTCTAAACTAAAAGATTATCCAGAGAGCTATGAGAAGTGAAGTGACTCAGTGTGCACAAAGCCTAGGGGTGCTAAAACCAAGTGGAAAATCCAACTGGTGAGTGACTGCTGAGTGGACTGTTAGATCGTGACTGGCCCAGGATGCTGAATGCCTCACTGATTTATCAAGTGCAATTGGTTATGTAGAGACTCTAGTTGAAGAGAAAGACCCAAATCCACAGGTATAAAAAGAGACAGGTACCTGGTGCGGTGATGTGTGCCTGTAATCCCAGCAGCTACAGAGGCTGAGTCAAGAGGATCGCAAGTTCCAAGCCAGCCTCAGCCACAGTGAGGCGCTGAGCAACTCAGTGAGACCCTGTCTCTAAATAAAATACAAAATAGGGCTGTGGATGTGGGTCAGTGGTTGAGTATCCCTGAGTTCAATCCCTGGTACCCTCCTCAAAAAAAAGAGAGATAGGGAGAGATGAAGAATGAGATGGAGTGACTGAGAGAGACAAATGAGACAGTGAGACAAAGGGGTAGGGGGACAAAGCCATATCCTCTCTCTTATCCTTCTTTCCCAGGGGTAGGAAATGAAACCAAAGAGAATAACTCACCATCCTGATGGATGTTTTTGCAGACTTTTTCCTCTTTGAACAAAGGGAAAGTGGATGATGTCCTCTCTTAACCAGTTTTCAAATTCAACCAGGATGCTGGGGGTGGGGTGGGGGTGGGAGGAGGTGGTGAGATGTGGACCAGAAAACTACAACAGGGGGGAGAGAAAGAACAGGCATGGACCACGAACCCACTGGGAAAGTCCATGCAGCAGATGGAATTGTGCTCCTGGCCATTATTTTTTCTCCCCTCTCCTCCCCATAGACTTCTTTCCTTAGACTCCACTTTGTTGAACCCTAGACAATCGTGACCTCAGTATAGAGACATATATCCAGGCAGCCTCAGCCTGCGGCGGGAGACCAGGATGCAAAGGGCAAAGGTTTGACCCTAAGAAAAATTTCTCATGGGGTCAATCACACTGCCTGGCCAAAAAGAATCCCCCGCCCCCCATAATGTTTTCTCTCTTAAAGGGACCATTTTTTTCCTAGCTAAATGTTTTACTCCCTGTGTAAGGAATGCTGTTCCCCTCTTCTGGGATTGCATGGGGATGGATATCTGCCTCCTATCCCTTCCTACCACCACTGTCACTTGCTTATAAGCTGCCACTGGCCCAACCTTGGCCTGGTGATGATGTCAGTACATCCAGGGGCTGGATAATGCCAGCTCCTGCCTTCCTGCCACTTCCCACCCACCCTGCCCCACTCTCTGCTTTCCTCAAAGCATCCAGCATCTCTCAAAACTGCTAACTTGTGCAGGAGGCCAATGGGAAGACATTTGTTAGTTGCAAATGTTCAAATTAACACTTATTCCTGTCCCTGAGTCTGCAGGGAAAACCAAGCCTGACTACTAATTACAGCTTTGGGGGGTGAAAACAAACAGGCGTGTGCAAGTCGGGCCTTGGTGCAGGAGGAAAATATCTTCATTGGGTTGCAGCATTTTGACATTTGAGTCCCAAGAGCTAGAGAGAGGAGCCTGGGGCAGAAGGAGACTTTATCCACATGGGGACAAGCATGGTGTCTTCAGGCCCTGACATTGTATCCTGAGTTTCAGAGTTCCCAGGCTGCCTTCCTCACTTTGTTGGGATTTTGCTGGTAACAAACAGGCATGGGGAGGGAGCTGCCCCAAGGTCAGCTGAAGGTCAGTAGAAGGCATTGGCATGGTTACCTAATGCAGTGGGTCCCTTTCTACTGAGCACAGTCTGCCCTCCTAACTCGAAATTCCCCCAGTGCACCAGACCCTGCCTTTCCACTCTCACCCAAGGACTTTCTGATCACCCCAGCCCTAACAGTCTCTGGCCCTTCACTTCCTTGAAGCACTTTTTTCTACGACTCTTTTGTCAATCTGACCACTTTGCACAGATGGCTAACTTTTATCTAGACTGCCCAACCCTGATGAAAATTTTCAATCTGGGAAATACTATCTTTAATCTTGGGGAATTCTTAGCGATGACACCCTCAACTATTGCTTCCACATCCTCTTCTCTATTTGGTTATATTTTTCTGTTGTTGTTGTTGTTGTTATTGTTTGTTTGTTTTGTTTTGTTTTATGTGTCCCCCAGATCTCTGCACTTTCTTTTCATGGTTTCTTTTTGATGCATCTTGGGACCAGTCTTTTTGTTTCTTAACTCATTTTTTTTTTTGCTGTGTACAATATACTATTGGACCCATGGTTTAAAGTATACCTGCAAATTCTTTTATAATCCTTCCTCCAAGAAATGAAGTCTAATTTGGCTCCTCATGAGTTAAGACTTGCTTTAGTGAATACCATTGAATGAATAGAATGGGGTAGAAGTGACAGTGTGTAAATTCAGAGACTTGGTCATAAAAACATTGTGGCTTTCTTACTCCTACTGTCTCTAGGATCACTTGCTCCAAAGGAAAACCAGCTGCCATGTCAAGAGGACACATCAAGCAGTACTATGGAGGACCCCCATGGGGAAGAACAGAGGTCTTTTGCCAATAACCACGTGAGTGAGACATCTTAGAAGCTGACTCTCCAGCTCTACCCAAGCTTTCAGATAGATGACTGCAGATCTGGCTGATGTCTTAACTATAACTTCGTGAAAGACCCTAAACTAAAATCAGCCAGTTAAGTCATTCCTGAATTCCTGGTACAAAGAAATTGTAAGATAATAAGTGTTTTATCATTTTAAGCTATTCGTTTTTGCATGGTTTGTTAACTATATACCCACAGATTAAGTTCTTTTTAATTTTTATTAATTATTCCTTCGTTTTCAAAGTTTCTAATCTTTTTATAACCACCTGTTCTTGTTTCATTGTCTTATATTCTTATTTCACCATTTATATGCCCTCCCTCATCATTGAAAACATTTAGGTTGAATTTAAAGGTTTTGTTTACCTCTTTTTCTTGGGTATTGATTCATCCATTTGATGACTTTGCTATTTATCTTTCATAGTGTTGGACTTTCTACACACTTTGTAAAAAAAAGTTATCTTTTATGGAGTAGATAGATACACACGCACACACACTGGAGATACATACATACATACACACACACACACACACACATACACACACACACATTGTATTTGCATTTGTGCTTATGCTCTGGCCCTGGGATACAGCATCACACCCAAATCCTGTCACTCTGGCTAGCATTCCTCAGACCCTTAGCCACAATCGTGGCTGCCCCCTCCTACCTTTAATGAAGAGAATGTGTTTCCAGGCCTTAGCTTTATACAGTCTGTGTAACTCTAGACCCAGGCTTTTAGGGTAATGGAATTCCAGCCTGAGCCCATGGGTTAGTCCAATTCCAGTCCCTTTCCCCACCAACCAACCAGCTCAAGCCTTTAAAGCCCAGTATGGACAATATATTAAATTGTCTTTCGGAAACTCTCCATTTCTGACTGATGGAAATTTACCCTCTTGTTTTAAGCATGTCTATAGGTACTTGTTAAATTTTTTTCTCATCATTTATCAATATTCAAGGTAAAAGGGGGAGACTTTAGCCTACAAACAATGTATCTGCCTTGTACCAGAAGTCTTATTTGCTAACTACACACACACACACACACACACACACACACACACACACATATATCCCTAATGACATACTAAGCTTCTAAAGTCAGGGACAGTATCATTTCCTTTTCTGTTTCTCCTCATTGGAAGAACAGAATGCATTCAATGGAAGTTGATCTAGAAATGTTAGATTGACTGACAGTTGAGAGGATGATATGATGGGGAAGATTGACAGGAAAAAGGATTAAGACTTCTCCCATATTTCAACAGGACTTGTGACCCTCAAGTTCGGAATCTCTCTAAGAAGATGCTTCTTTTTTTTTTAGAGAGAATTTTTTTTAATATTTTTTTTTTTTTAGTTATCGGCAGACACAACATCTTTGTTTGTATGTGGTGCTGAGGATCGAACCCCGGCCTCACGCATGCCAGGCGAGCGCGCTACCACTTGAGCCACATCCCCAGCAAGAAGATGCTTCTTAAGCTTTTCTGGAACATAGACATTTTGAAAACCTAATTAAACCCTTTCTGCTGAAAAATTAAAAATGTGCAGTATACAAAACTCAGCATTCTATATCAGGAATCTAAATAGTTTAAAAAATTAACCCTAAAATATAAAAATGTGCCTTCTTTGGGTGTTGTGAGTTATTTTTTTCTTGCCAGTTACCAAAGATGCCTGTTTTAGCCATGAGAAGCCCAAGGTCCTCTCCTGACAGATGCGGAAGCTAAGGGCTTGAGAGTCGGTGTGACAACGTGCCAGAGCAAATCGTGGTCTGACTGCTTGCTAACTGCAGTGAAGGACCTGCTGTTCCCCCACCTCCTCACAACTTTAGGACAAGTCCACGTCCATGTACTAGCACCACCAAATAGAATTACCTTGAATCCTGTCAATAAATGACAATAAATCATCACCAATACAGAACACATACTTCATTTTGTTTTAAAAATACTGCCTTGTGCCTGATCTTTTGTTGTGGATCAGTAGTGTCAACTGGTTTATCTAGAAACGGGTCCTACAGTCCCAGCCCCCTTAGCCAGTGGGGCTCATCCATCATTCAAGGTCAATTCAGCCAATATACACTGATACCAGGTATATACGAGGCACTGATCTCAACACTGAAAATGCAAAGTGACCAGGACCCTACGGAGTTCACTAACAGAACGATAGATATGTAGGCATCACTGCCATAAATATAAATGCTGAATTAGAGGGCTACACAAAAAGTATGCCCAAAGCAGGGGTTTCCAACTTTATGGCTATCTATTTAAGGGAGAGAATGGTAGCAGGTGACTAGCACTACAGAGAAGGGGCTGATGGCCAATGATAAGGCTAGAAAAATGGAGACAACCTAAATTCTGAAAGACTTGCTTTCAATGATAAGGATCTAAGATTGTGTCCTGAGGGTAGTGAGGGAGATCTGAGGAATTTTACACAGAAAAAGAACATACTAAGATTTGCATTTTTTTTTTGACATGTGTCTTTTTTTTTTTAATTTTTTATTGTCGGTTGTTCAAAACATTATAAGATTTGCATTTTAAAGAGACCCTAATAAAAAAATAGTGACAACTAATTCCAAAAAAAGTGAAAATTATTTAAATCACATCTTCAACTTACCTTAGAACACATCTAGAAATTACTAACAAAAATTATCATGCCCTCCCAAAATATTCCCATCTCCTTGAAAATTTAAAAATTCACTCATCATTAACTTTTCATTAATGAGAAAAAAGTGCAATTCCAGGCTATATAGAAAATTTTATACATGAATTTTTGAAATACTCTCAAGTCTGGAATCAGAGGAATTATATATAGCCTTTAATATCTCCATCAGTAATTTTTAAAAGGATAAAAATAAACTAAAATTTTAAATCAAATGATTTTGAAGAAATGAAATAATTATCAAAAGCAAAACAAAGTATTTTTTTTAAAAAAGAAGAGTGAATCTCAAATAAATTCAAGACAAAAATTTAAATGTTCAAAATTAAGGGTAAAAATGTATATAATCCTCAGACATGAAAATATTTTTACTACTGTTGGTGGGAAAGGGGGCTGATGGCAAAAGTCTAGGTTAGAAAAATGGAGACAGGCTTAATCCTAAAAGATTTGTTTTCAATGTTAAGGATCTAAGATTGTATCCTGAGGGTAGTGAGGAAGATCTGAGGAATTCTACATAGAAAAAGAGACAGACTAAGATTTGCATACTAAGAATCTCTTTTGTCAAACAGCAATTTTTTTTAAATCTCTGTAAAATAGATAATTTTCAAAAAAAATATAGATTATCAAATAAAGAAAACTGATTTTTTTTTTTTTTTAGGTAGGGTCTCACTGTGTTGCCCAAACTAATCTTGAACTCACTGAGCTCAAGAGATCCTCCTGCCTCAGCCTCCTGAGTAGTTGGCACTACACGCATGTGCCACTGGGATTGTTAAGATTACCAAATTTAGATCCAAAAGAAGCAAACAAATAAATGCCAAGGAAGAAATTAGGAAAGACTTTCAAGGGATTTGATTCAGAAGATTTTATAAAAAGAAGAAGATTTTATGAGCAAATAGTTCGAAAATTTCAAGAAATTGACAATCCTATTATTACTATATAAAACATTCCACACTCTATAATTTTTGAAAGTCCCTTGTCTATTTTGCAAAATTATCATAATTCCAGTGCAAAAGTCTAGCAATGACAAAGACAGCTCAATAAATATTCTTAGCAAATTTTGGCCAATCACATGTTAGTATAGGTAAGAAGATCAAAATACATCAAGGACAGGGTAAGCACATTCATTATTCCCACTGTAGGGGAATTTTTTTTTTCCCTAGACATTTAGCCAATGCAGTAAGACAAGAAGACATAAGAAATGCAATTATTGAAAAGGAGACCAAATTAACATTATTTGCATAACCTATAGTCACACTGAAAAGTTAAGATAATCATCCATTGCAACTAATTATCTAGTAAACTAGACAAATACAACTATGTATATCTAAAACAACAACTTTTTAAATAGCAACAATAACCACCTAGAAAATATAATGGGTAAAGGATTCCATTTCTAATAACAACAAAAACAAAAGGGTTTAACAAGAAATGTGCAGGATCTTTATAGAGAAAAATGACCCTTTACAAACGTTCACAGAGAAATTTCAAACTAGAAGACACGTGCTATACCATCATATATTTTTTTTTAGTTGTAGATGGACACAATATCTTTATTTATTTATTTTTATTTGATGCTGAGGATCAAACCCAGTGCCTCACATGTGCAAAGCAGGCACTCTACCACTGAGCCACAGCCACAGCCCTCTGAAGGGCAACATTTAATGTTGGAAAGCTGTAAATTCGGTTCAGGTTAATGAACATTTACTCAAAATCACGATGAAAATTTTTGGAATCTGAAAAAAAAAAAAGGTTCTGGATTTCAAAATTTCTTCTGAAAAAAATCTTTGTCGAAAAAAAGAACAAGGCAAACTTGAATTTAGCCTGCCAAGACAAATTATCTAATAAATAAAATAAAGAACAGAACAGAAAACACCTAAACAAGCCCAATCAGGTCAGAATTTAGTCTAGAAAAGTGATATTTCAATCCACAAGAAAAGATAAAATTGTAAGGTGACTCTAGGCAAACTGCGTAACTATTTGGAATAAAACATAAATTCAATTCTTATCGTATATAGCATGCCATTCCAAATGGATTTTTTAAAGTCAAATGTTAAAAAAAAATAATAAAAGAACAAAAAGTGTAGATGAATATTGATCTGATCATTGATATGGAAATTTTTCTATGAATATAATTAGGGAGGAAGGAAGGAAAGGAGGGGGCGGAAAGAAGGGCAGACATCTTAATAGACTAAACTATGTAAAAGTTACTTCCAAATATAAAATGACATAAACGTTAAAGGCAAATAATAACTGGACAAAAACTATTTGCAACATGTAAAAAGTAATTAATAGTCTGAACCAGTTATTGCAAATCTATAAATAAATAAAATATTGTAAAAAAAAAAAAAGAACAAATATCACAAGCAATTCACAAAAGGAAAGATGTAAATAATATAGCATTTGGGGGGGGTAGTTTTAATAATAACCAAAGAAATTCAAATTAAAACAAGATACCATATTTTGTTATTTCAAAAACTGAAATACCCAAGGCTGATGAAGACATCAGGTAATAATCTTTTTATAAACTCTGTTGGCAGAATTGTACATCCATCCATATAACACTTCTGGAGAGCACTTCAGTAATACGTATCAAAAAAACACAAATGTTCACCCCTTTGGCCCAGGTTTTCTACCTCTCAAATTTTACCTTAAGAAAATAATTGACACTGCTTACAAAGATATGCATTCAAGAATATTGTTTGCTGTATTACTTCCATAGAGTTAGAACTCTCTAGAGTATACACTAGGACCTTGAGTGCATAACTTACAATATATTTAGCTGTATACCCATGGAAGTTTTTATTATAGATTATCTAATGACACAGAAAGATATCCAGCTATACTTTTTGTTTGTTTGTTTGTTCATTTGGTTGGTTGGTTGGTTGGTTGGTTGGTTGTTTTGTGGTCCTGGAGATGGAACCCAGGGTCTTATGCATGCTAGTCAAGTTCTCTACCACTGAGCTATATTCCCAACCCTACACTTAAATAAAATATTACAAAACAGTATGCACAGTACAATCTTAATTGGGCTTTTTAACTCAAATTGTGAAATTTATTATTTAATGTCTCTCTTGTTCACTCTCCCAGTCCTGGAGGCTTCTCATCCCTGGCTGCAAGTTAGAATTCTTTGAAATCACTTTTACAAAACATTCCAACCTGGGCCCCACCCCAAAGCAAATTAAATCAGAAACCCTGTGGGTATTTTGTGTTTTTGTTTTAATTTCTTCAAATGATTATAATGTGTAGTCTCTGTTCAAAACTTCTGCTGTAGAGCTGTGGTTCTCAACCTGGTCTATTTTACTCCTAGGGGACATTTGGCAATATCCGGAGACATTTTTGATTGTCATACCAACTTGGGGTGGGAGAAGCTATTGGCATTCTGATGTGTGGACCAGATTGAATGGGCTGAATTGTGTCCCCTGTCCCCTGAAAAAAATTCATGGGATAACATCTCAACCTCCAGAAAAGTTAAAATAGGGTCCGTAGGGTGTGTCCCAAGTTTAGTATGACTGACCCTCTCTCACCCCCACCCCCACCCCATGCCCCAGGTTCTGTGAGAATTTTTTTTCTTTTTTTTTTTTTCCTAATGATCATTTGAACCAGATATCAAAGCAGGCTTGGTTCTAAAACTCAGCTTTAAATCACTAAATGGCCAACGTCTGAATGTTATCTGCTTCATTTGAGGACAAAGAATGCAGAGCCAGAGATGGAAAGCTGAGAGACCCTTTTTGTGTTTGGGACAGGTGGGAGGCTTAACTCTGTTGGCCTGATATCTCCCTAAATGCTTTCTTGTTTCTCTTCTCTTCTGGCCAGAGAGTTCCGAGTGGCTATGAAGGGATTTCATACAGACAAAGTGATTAGACCATAACCAGGCAGGAAAGTGTCCCAATCACATGTACATTTCCCCTGTCCCTGCTGGCCACCCACCACCCTAAATCAAGTATTCCCTAAGTATAAGTGTCCACTTTTAGAATCAATCAGATCAATCTAAAGATAGGTAGTGGGGGAGGGGCAATGACTGGCGTCCTTCTAAGAAGAGAAACATCATGGATGTGCTCCCACAGAAGGAAAGCCATGAAAGGTCAGTGATGAGACTGCCATTCACAAGCCAAGGACAAAGGCCTCAGATAAAACCAGTCCTGCTGGCACCTTGATTTTGGAAGTCCAAGAAGCCTTGCAAGTCCAAGAAGTCTCAGTGACATCAGCCCCTGCAGCCTCTGCCCCTTAATTCTGCTTTGTTTTGCTCTTCCTACTCCGCTACACAA